CATGACAAGGCAGATCACTTTTCGTGCGCCTTAAGTGTAGTAGACTTACATTTTATTGACAACTAAGTCTACGGTAGCTCTCATTTTTAGGTACAAAATTTTAATTATGTAAATTAATTTATTTATTCTGTCGTTATTTTCTGCCCACACGTTTCATTTGCTAATCATATTTCTATTTAATTTCTTATTAATCGACTACATGAGAATTTCTGTGTTGTTCCTATCGGCTCGATATAGGTCGATACATGTCGATACATGTTATTTCCTTCTTTATGCGAAGTTCAAATTGAACCTTTATCGATTTCATACAGAATGTCTTTAGAAATGGTTTTATATTGCTACTTAATTTGTTTTGAATTTATCTATTGTCTGTTTAAGTCTTTCACAAATGAATAGTTTCGAAGGATGGATATTTACTTTTACCTGAAGACTAAGGAAAATGAGCCCTTCGAAACGTAGTAATTTTTTTTATAGTTTTAAGATTCTCAAGACTTTATAAAAAAAATATACGGTAGATAAAATCAAAAACTAAGAAAGTAGTGATTAAGCAGACTTGTTTCACGATGGACCAAGAAGCCTTGGCAGATTAATAAAACTTTGTTGTGTAAATTCTGAGCAAGTGACACACGCCGGGCAGTTTCGAAAGGATTGGAGATGTCTGGCGTAGCCGAAGGTAATTGTAAAAGTCCGAGGCTCCAGTGACGTAACCATATTACACGCGGTTTCTCGCTTGGTATACACGGTTTCCGATTTATGCAATGTACCAGCCTCGTTTTGAACAAGGAATAGCTGATGTAGCCCTTACTGTTCATATCCAACTTTAGTGTGATTCATTTACTAAACGTGGCGTTTCCTAAAAACTTTAATTTTTCGCTGTATTATTGTTATTGCTTTATTATTATCATTACAAAAAAATAAGAGACTTTTTCAGCGTGAGCAGTTCATAAAGACGCCCTAATTCAACTAGGTGTTGCAAATTATATATGTAGATTTTTGGCAAAAATATTGACAAATTTGAGGACCACCTTCTCGAAACGAGAAAGTGTTTAGGTTGATTGCATGTCAAAGTTTAGATTTATTTTTACTTCCTTATTTTAATTTTTTCTGTGTACCTGTAATTATTTTATTTTCTTGTGCTGAAAACAGGGTTAATAAATTTGAATCTTTGTTAGAGAGGTGTCTACATTATGTAAAGCAGAACAGAGGATTTTTACATCTCTGCTGCCGTGGAATCACCCCCCCCCCCCAAATATCTTGTACATTTTGATTTAACAGAACATTGGCTAACTAAAATTGAGGATGTCCTAAAAAGATATATACACACATTCATTGGATTGATTGGAATAAAGACATTTTAATAAACTAAACCATTACATACGTCAGCATTGGCACTTAATGAATTAGCGAATCTAGATAAATTAGGTCTGGGTTTTAAAGCCGTGTGTTCTTGCAGTAGAGTACCAATGTTTCGGAAGAAGATATTCCCTCCATTTTAATCCCTGAATATGGAAGCAATATGTTCTTCCGAAACGTTGGTAACCATCTGCAAGTATACCGATTTCAGCATGCAGAACAGCATGGATGCTACTTCTGATATTCTGTGTGTCTTAAGTAGGTTAAATCTTAAAATAATCCCACTCATAGGCCATCAGCGATCAATACCACGTGGTCTGTATTACGATCTGGTCGCCATGATTTTATTCCCAAGGTCACGACCTGATATTTTTAAAAGTATTGATTGTCGGTCTTGAGCGCTGAGGGGATGTTTCAATGCTACAATTCGAATTCTTGGAACATTTGAAAGGCGTTTAATGAGAAATGAGAGAGGAAGAACGTGAACATTCTCTGGACGTTTTTTCCAAACGCATTCCTTTCCGATTTGTTATACCTTCGTGACTTTCCTATTAATTTCTTGCAGACATTGTCCGAGAAACTAACCTAAGCAACGCTATTCAGAATAAAAGTATCAAACTTCATAACAACCACAAAATATGACTTTTTTCTGGGATGTTGCGTTGTATAGTCTGGTAGAACTAACCGACGTTTCAGAGGTGCTTGCTGTCGCCATCATCAGGACGATTACGTTAGTAAACTCTACCAGAATAAGCGACGCAACATCCCAGCCGTGAGAACCGTAATTTCACCATGAATCCTTTATTTACAAATAAACTGGCTGGATGGTTAATGGACCAGTCATAAACTGACAGGAGAATGTACGTATAATGTAATAAGTGGGTTTTTTCGGGGGTTTTAAAATTCGATATCTTGCTTTTTGCAAATGGCGCGAGTGACATCAGAGTTGTCTGGGATTATCAACCTTCGCGCTAAAAGGTGTCTGGTATCTGTCTGGCTGGGTTATGTAATCACGTGAATGGATGAACAACTTCAGGGATTTCCAAAACAACAAATCAACAAATTAGTAAACTGGGAATTTCCCACCCATTCACCTCCCGCATGCAGAAACGTGTGGTCATCTCAATGTAAGATGTCCATTAATTCATGATTTCAACCTAAACTGAAATGTGGCGAGAAATTTTAGTAAAAATTTAATGAAAATCAGTTCAGTCATTTTAGAGCTGTTACATGCGGACAGAAGGACAGACAGGGCGAAGCTAATAGATGCATTTGTGCAAATTTTAGTTTCGAACGCGCATAAAATTAGGATTTAAACCCGCGATCTCAGTTCAAGGCCGTTTAAGCGGTAGAACACGTGGCTTTTGTTGTTTGCGGTTTGTGTAAAAACTCAAACTAGGCTATATGGCTTCGAATATAGGATGATTAATGAACTGGAAAGGATGTGGAAGGAAGCAGCCGTGGCCAAAACGCTGTCCCACAGTTTCCTTGAAATTAGTAATGAAACCCACGAAAATTCTCCGGACACTCTTTTTCTGGGACGAGAATTTAAACTGGAATCTCCGGAAGACGAAGAAATTCTAACAATACGACTGCGACGTCCCGTTATTTTTGTTGTTGTTCTTCTTCTTCTTCTTCTTCTTATTATTATTATCATTTAAAGATTTTTGTGCTGTTTTTGTTCTTGGCCTTCGGTTTTTGCTGCTGGAATTCAATGTATAACCACGGTTTTTGGCAGTGAGCCACGTTGAATGTTGAGAATTAACCAACGCTTCGGCAAACATTGTATTTACCATATTCAGGACGAACATATTCAATTGCGGTGTTTGCCAAAACGGAAATTCTAAACATTCAACTCGGCTCACCCCCAAAAGCCGAAGTTGTACATTTGTTGTTGTTGTTGTTGTTGCTGGTGGCGGATTTTACTGATGCGCAAGTTTACAGGAAAGGCGAACCTTGGTACGCAGTGCGCTGGTCACGAAAGATGGTTAAGTCCACGGTAAATTGGTTAACCAGGTTAAGGAAACGCGACTTGCGCACGCTTCACGAGGTCACTCGTCTCTTTGTTAACTTTCCTCTGGCAATACAAATTATGCATCTGAGTAGATTTTGTTATTCAGTTTCTTTTTTACCCACTTGCAGCTTCGTTGTGCCATTTTCAGTTCAAACAGAACCAATTTTGTTACTATCTGAGTAATAAGATGACTGTCTTCTAGGTTGTAACGCCGTGTAGTCTGGTAGACGTTTACCGACGTTTCAGAAGTACTTGCTGTCTCCATTATCAGAGCCATGATGGCGGCAGCAAGGACCTCTGAAACGTCGGTGCACTTCTACCAGACTACAAAGCGCAACACCCCAGAAAACAGTAATTTTATTTTAGATTAATGAATCATATTAGGGCCCAAAGGCATTTATGGGTTTCTGGACACTGTCCAAATTATTATTACATTCCAAATAGAACACAACGTTTCGGAAACTGTATTTGTTTCTGTCTTCAAGGTGAAAAGGTGGGAAGTTCGGTCGGTCAGAAAAAACTTTATTTTGTTTTAGTATATATAAAAGAATGAAGATGGTTGTCTTATGAAAAGACAGCCATAATGAATTGTTCCTTGATTGTTGCAATTGCAAGATACAAAACATATAATCCCGCATATCGTATGGGTATGTGCGTTTATATTAAGAAAAACGTGAGAAGATAGACCTGACATCTGTTCGTATGTGTCGATAAACATTCCATTTCTTATGGAAAATTCAAGGATTTGTTTGTAAAGAGTGAACATCTGTGCTGTGTATTTTTTATTTTGTGGCATTGCTCAAGGACTGGAGATATCACGAAGCAATGTGTTTAAATTGTATCACATATGTAGAGAATGACACGTAAAACAGTTCCGTATGTTCGATCCTCGTTTCTCCATCCAATTTGTACCCTGAAAAGCTATCAGCATTCGGTGAATAATGATTGACTTCTTTTGGAAACTGTGAGATATTATATATATATAATAATGGGCCTATATTTATTTATATTTTGTGTTGGAAAATACCTATAACTTATTAAGCAGTCCATTTTACAATGAATTGATTGCAAATTAAAATTATTAATTTTGATGTGACCTGATACGAAATGTGTGTACCGACCTGGTATAAATCTAAACGTGTTCAATAGCTGTAGGTTTTATGATGTATCTTAACTCTGTCTCTCCATATATCCTTTTCTTCAGATCATTTTTAAGAAACCCGAAATTTCATCAGCTTTTAAAGTTAACTATTCGCCCTCATCAGAGTTAAATTGTGATCATCTACGTTGCAACATCGCCTAGTCTCGTAAATGGTTACCGAAGTATTGGACGAACCTGTTGCGTTCATCTTAAGGGTACTTATGCACTGAAAACGGTGGCATAAGAGCGGTACCTCCGAAACGTCAGGAACTATCTACGAGACTAGACACTGTCACAATCGAGATTACAATTTAAAATTTTGTTGTTGTTCCTTGGTTCTACAACTCCGTTTGTGGGTTTTCGCCGCCTTCTGAACTTAAAATAGGGTCCAATACATCTGCCTTGTTCTGTTAAGTACGATGGAGTCCAAAGTTGGAGTCGTACAGCTTGAAACGCTCGATGTGTCCACTACATAGTATTTCTTCTACTCACCTCTGCTCCGTGGTGAGGTTCCTCAAATCAGGTACATCGCACCAATACTCCTCTGGGATCACTGTGATGAAGATCTGGGTGAAGTAAACGAAGGCTACGAAGAATGCAAATGGAGCCAACAACGCGAACAGAATCTTCTGATACAGACCAAACTCTCCAATATGGGGCAACATGTCATCGAAGTCCATAATTGTCTTGTCATCCTGAACCGGGTTGGAAGGAGGCTTCTCGCCGGCCTGCGTATTCGTCTTCTGTTTCAAGGCAATGTCGTTGATCGAAGATTGTCGTGCCATCTTCATTTTCACTGCAGCCCACGCGCTAACCTCTCCAGCACTGGCTTCTGTTCGTGTTTCCATCGGGTCCCTATCCGTTGAATCGGGTATCCTGTCTAGTGACGTAGGCACTCCATTAACCCATGACGTTGTGTCTTCATCTGTCTTGGAATACCCTTGTATGCTTCCCGTGTGCGAGTGACAGATATCCTGTTCTTGAGACAATCTGTTCTCTTCGCGTGGCGGAATCTTCTCTTGTGGTGGCATTGCTCTGCAGATATTATCCCAGTAACACTCATAAACCACTAAAACCACAAGAAATCACCTTTGGCTGTCGTAACTTGCTTGCGTTTAAAAGGGGATTTCTGTAGTAGTTAGATTCGGATGATGGATTCCCTATATGGTAGCCCTCACAGTGTCTAGGTGATGCCTGCCTATCAAAATACTGCAGGCAAATCCTAGAACACGCAACCACGGCCCCATACACACGACTAAAGGTAAGACTGCCACAATATCGTTGCTTTATATACAGATTCGCTTCGGCTACCGACCGCTCAGAAGAAAGTGTCGATCATTGGCAGGGAGGGGAATTACAATCTTTCTGTTGGAGGGGTGAGGGGAAGGTCAAGATTATGTAGGAAGGAAATCCCTTGGGTTTGTTTGCGTATGAGAATGTTCTAATTTACTCCTTTCGAAGTAGGAAGTAATAGGTTTGTGTGGTTATTTGTCTTAGATTAATGGTCCAGAAATAAAGTTCTGAGACTCAGCAATCGTTTTATTTTGTTTGCTTAACGTGGCGGTATTCTGTATCAAATCTGACTGTCGTGTTGATTGATGGCAAAAGGTTTTCATTCAGTGTTGCGCGCGTTTCAAAAGATGGCTACCGGAATGTGGGTGTATATACCTTTGCTCCTGCGGCCTTTCTACCCTGACGTCAGAGTCGCAACTTAAAGAGTGAAGAGTGGGCTAGTGAGAACACTAATAACGCGGAGGAATACATTTCCATAAATACGGCGCTGTCGGTGAATCTCTGTTGGACTTATTCTTGTCTGGGGTTCATGGGGATACGGAAATTCGGCCGTGTAAAGTCAAAATAAGCAAACAAAAAATCATTTATGATATTTATGAACCGTAGAAAAAGTACTTATCACAGCTTTAAAGTGAAATGTCAACGAAATGCTTGCCCAAACTGATATTACGCTCGTAGCACAGCGCAACTTATAAAACATTTTAATTTGTATCCGGTTTTATAATCTAACCTAACTTTGTTTTATTATGACTTTTCCGTTTACTTTCTGAATATTTATTCTTTCACATATGTTGAATGCAAAAAGCCAAGTTGCAAGTTGATAAAACAAACATATATACAAGACCTAAACGTTTTGACCTTTATAATAGCAGTCGTATTTTTCGCATGTTCCTACAGCGTGTCTGGCAGATCGCGTATAATCGAATTTTGCGAGGTTAGGTAATAATTATTTGCAAGTGACTAGTGGCGATCCCATCTCAAACACTTTTCCGCCATATTGATGTTACAAATTGTAGAAAATTAAAAATAAATATGATTTTAGGGCAGACCCCAGTGGCTTAATGTCTATACCAAATTTCTTCCAAATCCATCCAGTTGTCGTTTTTAATCATGTGGTTGGACATGTAGACATGGTCAACACCGCGTTCATTTCGTTCACGTCACGACAATAACGAATATTATTTGAACATTCAGTTTATACCGCAAAGAAAATATAACTTTTCCATTACAAAGTCCAGTTGGTTAATACCGTTTAGGGAAATATGTCTGGTCTTTGTTTCTTCAGAGAAATTCGAGAATCGTAAATACACTATGGACAAATTCCAGAATTTCTTGTTAATAAAGCAGGCGGTACGTGTAATTAAAACGGAATTTTAAAGGATTTAACAATTTTCTAGAAATGGTTTTAATACAGACTAGTGACAGGTCAGTATGTGTCACTTAACAAGAAACTGCTCTACGAACAGATGATGTAAAATATGTGGAAGTTGCATTTAGTGACGTAGGTAACAGGACATTTTGGTGCGTATGTAAGAACCGCTACTAGTTCTGGGGAATACCCCCTTGCGCCATACTCCCAGCTCCGAGGTACTGTTCCAGCTGTCTGCAAACCGGTTAGGTCAATACACTTGGGATCCCAATGTGTTATCCTACTTCCACCGAACTCTTTGAAACATCGGTGAGACGTTTAACCTGTATTCGCGAGCTACTCGGTTCGAATTTCTTCCGATAACCTATCTGATGCTCCAGCCGAGGTTCGTACTGCTTTCCCCCAGTCTCCACACCCAAATGTTGACCAAGTACTAATAAGGCTACCATCTTACGAGGTGCGATCGGAAAGTTTCAAGACTGCGCCTATAAAAACCCGTACACTTATCTCAGGTATTAAATTCATCCATCACCCTCGAAGTAGTTCCCCTGGGAGTGAACACAACGATCCCAGCGCCGCTGCCAAGCCTGGAAGCATCCCGGGAAATCTTTCTTTGTCAGCCTGTCAAGCACCATCTGCGATTCTGCCTGAAGCTCTTCTATCGTCTCAAATCTCCTTCCCTTTAGCTGAATTTTCATCTTGGGGAAGAGGAAGAAGTCACACGGAGCTAAATCCGACGAATAAGGAGGGTGCGGGATGACGGCCATAGTGTTTGAGGCCAAAAACTGCCGAACTTTGAGGGCGGTGTGCGCTGGCGCGTTGTCATGATGCAGCAGCCAGTTGTG